AAAATTTAATAAACTATCATCTTGTCTTTATTTTTAGTTAGCACATACCTTAAACACTTAAAGCTGTAAGCTAATGATAGTTATATAAGAGCAGATGCATGCTAGTTCAATAAGCTGTACGTTTTACATTGAATGGATGATGATCTGATTAGTCGACTAATCGCAAAAATAATCGCCGACTAGTCGACTATCAAAATAATCATTTGTGGCAGCCCTAGTTTAAAGTAATTTTGTAGCCTCTCATTGGTCCATTTCATACTGTAGTACCAGCCTCTCCCTCAGCCTGGTTCTGCCTGCAGGTCTCCTCTTCCAAAACCCTGCCATGCTTGCTCATGATTGTCTGATAGTTCGGGTTCTGTCTCTGCTGACGTAGACACTGACATTAAAAGAAACTGTACTGGAATTAAACCTGCTCTTTTCCCCTCCAGTGTTTTTGTGGTATTATGAAACAAACCAAATACAAGTTACTCAACACCATCAAAACGGTGGTTTCTCCAAGCACAATTTGGAGAAACAAATTTTGTTCATAAATATTTGGCACACACACTAACAGACAGACACACGTGGAGTACCTGGAGCTGTCTGTTGTTTTCTCGGACGGTCGCCAGGAGGGAGTCATACTGCCGAGCCTGGTCTGTTTTGAAACTCAGATCTCTCTCCAAAGATTCCTTCTCACTCTCCAGACGCTGTAATATCAGAAAGACACAAAACACACATTTGCATTTTTGATTCCTTGTCAGTTTAAAACGTTAATTGTTTTTCTTCACCAATGTAAGCACAATGAATGTGACTCACCACACCTCATTCATAGTTTGATACTATCTTTCTGGTGTCCTGTACATGCCTGTCTAATTGAAACTATTTAACTAACTCGCACCCCTGTGAAAAAGCTCATATACGATGCGTGAAGCCTTTGGGCGCATACTGTTCTACCCTGACAGACGCTGCTGTACAGATCTGAATGTTACTTATGTAGCCACGCCCGCTGTCATGTTCTTCCCTCAGTGCTGATGTTACACTGATTGCGTTATCAACCAAATAGGTTCAAGTGGACACGGCAGAACCATGAGGTGTTGATGTTACGGTCACATTTACACTCCTGACTTAAACCCTTTAATACTGAAATTTGAATGTTTAATATAGAAGCATATTATATGTACCGGTATATTTATTCCCCT